TATATTAGTACACGAATGCAGCCGTACCTTCGGTAGCGGTTACTGGGAGACTCGTCCAAAATTGATTTTGCACATGAGAACGGAGGCTTTTCTTCGCAGGATTTTGACCGTTTCACTCCGTTCTTTCGCCATTTCCCCACTATACAGCGCCCTACTAGCATTTTAGGCTAAGTAGGAAACCATCGTGCCAACTGCCTTTAACCATAAGATAGAATGGCCACATACCCCTCGTTAGCTTGTCCGTAAGAGAGTTCTCCCGGATTCCGACCCTCGATTCACATTCGTTTATTAGTTTAGTTTCCCTTGACTCTCAGGATTTCAGCAGTATCCGTCTTAATGAGCCTTATTGGCAGTTTTCAGTGAAATCGATGCTTCAGATGTTTGGAGAAAGTTATTCGACATAGCAATAAAAGGAGTGGAGATACGACTTGCTAACCCAGGTTCTCTGCTGTTTAAATATAATAAATTGTAGCAGTTTTAATATGTATTGCTTTAATACTATAGCTTTTTGAATAGACTTTCCTACGGGATTCCCTCAAAAGCTGAGCTCTGGCGTAAAGATGTCCACCGGCCCACTGTTTTTCAGCTTTTCCGAATTTATCGGTGTGGGAGCGAAATTGTTGCATATCTGAATCGACCAGTTTCAATATTCATTTCGGTTGTCACTAATTTCTCTTGAAATTTTCAGACGTAACGATTCGACAATCGGGAATGTTCGTCGGCGAAACGTTCTCTGGGTGGATGGGTGGAGAACGGTTAGAATTTGAGTATGCCGAAGATTCCTGGCTGGCAGAAATGCGCAGGTATGAGAAATTTTTCTCGAAAAAGTCAGCTGTCAGCGATGAGCAGTCCCCTTTTTCCTTTTTTTGTGCCCCACACATTCTATTTTTATTTTTCTATTCACACATTCTATTTTTATTCGAAGGCCTCATGGCTTTTAATTGTGACTTGGTCGATAAAGTGATTTGCGCGGCCAGCCGATGTTCAAGTCAGTTCTTATCCTACCAGACTATTCTTTTACCAACTTACCGGCTAGTTCCCTGTGGAGGCTTTATAGGGGCATAGAAAAGGCCGTCATCCGGGCGCATGAGAACGATGTAGTGCGCAGCGACCTAGTTAGCGACCCTGCCAGTAGTTGCAGTATAATCAACTGCCCGGTAACGGAGATGCGGGTAACGAGTCTCTCTAAACATCGCTAACTTCTGTCAACTATCTCGGCATTCTTCGTGGCCTGGTAGTGGCGTTTGGCCATGGGCTCGTCCCCAACAACGGGAGACGGAGCTAGAAAATTGCTGCTCCATCTGCGCGCGAGAGCCAGAACTATTCAATCTGTTCAACATTTGATGAACAGCAACGTGGGCAGGAGCACATCTCTGTATGCCATGTTAGCTAGCCTGCAGCGCGACCGTTTTGACGGTTGGTTGTCCCAGCATACCCACACTGCAATTCCGACCGCACTAATTGACTTGACGTGCAGGCTTGTTTGGCCACCCGGACCCTATCGAGGTTTGACTTCCGGACAAGTGTGCTTGGAGCGAGGTTATGGGGTCACTCACAAATTGTACCATCGACAGTCTGAACTATGACGAATAGACTGGTCTCTACAATGGCAAAGGTGGCCACCTTTCGGATGAGATTGAACAAAATCACATCTTTTTCTCTTTTTGAAAGCGCTCACATTGTTTTGTGTGTTTGGGTGTCCTACGAGAAGTATCTACAGAAATAGAGAGGTACAAAATGGCTCTTGGGAGACTAGGTGACAGCGCCTGGATTAGCCTGCTTATGCCGTTTTTGGCAAAGATAGATGTTTCCATAAGATATTGACCAACGTGATTTTAGAATTCGTGATGGTGTTTCTGAAGCACCGACAAGCGCCACTAACTGCGAAGAGCCATCCTGCCCACCGGAATGCGGGGACATCCAATTGCCGTCGTCGTCTAGTGCTGTCAAGGATACCCAGGTTGTTGACAGTGACGATGAGGAGGATTTCCCGGCCTATGACTTACCTGAAACCGAAAAAAATTTCGAAGTGGTGTGTTTATGCAAGTAGATTTAAACTTTAAGTAGTAAAAGCCTTGAAGTTACCCTTTTTCCAGCTTTCCGAAGGCGCTGAACCCGAGAAAAAGGCGACAGCACCATACTACATCAGAGATTGTTATGAGCATCTGAGTGAAAAGGAGAAGTATGAGGTGAGTACTTTCTGTATCGGTCATGGTGAACTCATAATTGATGTTGCAGGTATTTGAAGCGGCATTTTTCGCTTTGAATGAGATGATTAGAAGAAAAGCGATTGGATTTGTTGATATTGCCAGTAATTTGGCGAAGAAGTTGATCTTCCTGGAGGATAAGTTCTCAACGAAAGGCTTTGAGGTAATCGCTTTATTCAGAAAGTTTATTCAAGGAATTCGGGAGCTCCACAGTCTTGTTCGCCGCGGATGCTGGACGTGTCAGCAAGGCTGGGTTTGGCGCAGGGCCAGCCGCTTCTCCATAAAGGATCGAAGGTGGCAAGCGGCAACAATTGGTGGAAAACGAGCTACTGCCGCGCCAACTCCATCCCCATACCCGGACTCTAGCATCCAGCACAGCAAACCAAGAGTATTTGATTCGTGCTCGAGTCAATTTTTCTAATTCAGAAGTAGAGCTTGTATTAAATGAAACAATTTAGGATGTCCGAAAGCAGTGCCTCATATCGTGTTTGGTGATGCGTCCCGAAATTGCACCCGAAATTGGGCGATATGGTGTTTTCTCGGAGTTGCTCATTTTTCCATCGGTTCGCTTTATTTTCGTATTGTTTCAATTTGAGCTAACGCATTTTTTTTTTGAGAAGCTTGAAGGCAAAGGGTTCATGCGGGTGGTGAGGTCGTAGGCAGAGCTCTTCTGGGGCGACTACTATTGGTGCAAGGTCTCTGCCTTTGCTTTATCAAAGACAGATAGTCCTGCTCACAACCGTCAATACAGTACTGGATTTTTGAATTGCATTGGGCGAAACTATTGAGTTAGTATTGCATTCAGGACAATACTTTCAAGCTTACCTGTCCAATAGCTCATGCTGAGTATCTTGAAGGCAGGCTATTTGGGGGTGGGACTGTCTGTTACGGTTCCAACCCTCCGTCGATGGGTGTATTTACCCCAAAGGCGAGGGAGATAGGCTCATCAATACAGAATGTGAGCAGTGGTAGTATTTCCCCTATTCAAGCACTTACACATAGATCTCTGCAAATCGAGGACGTGTGAATAAAGCGTGATTTGAAGCGCGAAGCCAACGTTGCCTCCACACACCAGGTTATTGCGAGCCTCAGGATAGCATCGTTAGTGAAAAACGCTCTGACTGGACTGCGCTCAATCCACGTGCCGTCACGAGCCCTGTCGTTCACAGGGATGGTGACTGTAAGCGATCTTAAGGTCCCTTTGAATCCGAATTAACCGCATAATAATCATTAAAGGCGAACTTTGCGCTCACTTTCGTAGTTTCGCGGCCGTGCCGTCTGTCCGAGATGTTCAACTCCAAATCTGCAATACCATTGCCTTTTTTCTACGCGTTCGGAAAAAAGTCACGGAAGCAAGGGCTGGAGGATAATGAGTATATCTGGTGCGCGATTCTTCATACCCGTCTCGTGCTGTCCAGGGAGGCTCGCCTAACGTAGGGCCAGTTTCTTTACTTGTTGCGTCCTCTTCAGCTCTGGCTGCTCTCTCACTACTGACTACGTAATTTTATTCTGGCTGCTCTCACTGCTGACCTACGACGGTCAATCAGTTTGCGGGACCTTGCTTGGCGCAAGTGGCTGCACCTTGAACATACGCGCGAGCGGAGTATTGGAGAGACGGCATTTCGGCAGCACCCAGCTCCCAGGCCCCGATGCTTCAGAGCTGCGGACCAGTTCACCTCACTCATTGCAAGGACCATCCCTGAAGGTGGCGTACAGCTTGTCTTCAAACGATCATCTCGTTCACTGAATGCGTCAACCATATAATCTCTTTTCTTCAGATATTTAATTTTGGAATGTTTTGCGGCTGCTGCTAAAGAACTGTCGGAGTTCCATCCAGAAAAAACCGATAAAAAGGTCGTTGAAGGTAAAAAGGTCGTGTTGAAGTCAAAAGGAAAAACAACAACGAGGACGTATGACTTTTCAACGTTTAATTAGGCTCAGTTCTCCTGAAGACTGTGTTCATAGCTTACGGATTCACATATCCGTTGCAGCCCAATGACTGGAGAGCAGTAGTGGAAGCACGGATACGCTCTCACACACGAAGATTCACGAGCAAGGAGAAGCCACAAGTTACGGCTCCGAATCGATTTGCTCCCGTTGCGACCCTTTTCTTCTACCCTCTGTTGAGAACTCAAACGGAGGAGCACTTAGAACTGAAGGTAAATCTGGTTTCATGGGCTCGCACTTTCTAATTTGACGTTCAAGACCTTTACTGAACAGTCCACGATGTAAAGTATTGTTCGCTGCGGATGCTGGGGTGCGCGTCAGGAGGGTTTTTTGGCACGGAGCCAGCGCACTCTCTGCCATTTGCTGGAGCGAGCAAGCCACCGCAGTTGGTGAAAAACGGACTCGCGTCTCGTCAAACGTAGCCCTCCTGACACTCCTTAGTATTCGCAGCAAGCAAGACCCTAGTGCGCTTGAGGTGTTGGTCAAGATGTCCACGACACGGTACTGCGAGGAAACCGCTCACGTGTGCGCGTAGGCATCAATACGCCAAGAATGGTACAAGTTCGCTTGGCTTACGTTTCGTCAGTGAGAAGTTGCAAACATCTAGAACGAGTGCCTTTTCTGCAGTCGGTTTTTTGCAATGAGTAAGCCTACCGGAGAAACACTGAGCATGCAAAAGAGAGGCTAGACGAGCAAGTCATGGGAAGGGCCTCATTTCTGCGGTTATGGATCTGTTTTCCTCACACACGCGCGGAATCGTTCCATTCAGTGTTTTTACTAACGGTCAAGTTACAGTGCGCATCCCGAACGGATGTCGTACACTTCATTACTTTTCTTGCTATGCTGAGGAAGTTTTACTCCTGGACCTTTTTACTTCTTTTATTATGATCCCAGCTGGGACCAATGTTCTGCCACAGCTCTGTTTCAAAACTAGTCTTATTTCAGGGTCGCGATTCGCCTCTCCTTGCACGTCTGATATTTTGCGCGAGTGATATCCTCCAGAAGGCAACGAATGCTCCGACTGTGGTAAAGATGGCCATGTGAGTTCTTTTTGGAGACCAACTCACTCATTAGGACTTATTTCACTTTGAATCATTTCAGGTCTTTGGCAGACGTTGTTGCACCATTAAAGTTCCACCCAGATGCATTTATTCGATCGTCGGTTCTGTTTGCCTACTTTTCTATATCAGTTGCAGTTCCTGATGGGGTACGTGAGGGTCCGTCGTTACTATGGAAATTTTCCCGAGCCCGCTTTAGGACTGATTCTTCAAACATAGCAGTTTTTTCTTATCGGTGGCGTGCATTGGTGATTTGTTAGGTATTCACTGCATAACACCATTTGCTTGGGCGAAATAGAGGTGTACAAGGAGATCCGAGGTTGCGGTGGGGCGGCGAAAACGACTCTGCAAGCGATTCGCTTTCTCCGCACTCGCAGAAGCACCTTGTTGACCTGATGCTGAAGTAAGCGTTCTGCAATGCGCGAGCACACTGGAGGAACACTGTGCGCGCAAACGAGAGACCAGACGACAAAGAGCAAGAGACTACGCAGACGAGCGAGACGCGGAAATGGCTCAGTCACCTGAGTGAAGCTGAGTCTACTAGCTAAAAAATATTTTGCGCGAAGCCAACTCGGATTTCCTTACCTGACTCATATAGTTCCTGCTGATGTTACTTATGGAGTTTGTGATAGTAATGACCAAAGAGCAGTTGCAACGAAGAATCCGAAGGCTGTCTTTGTCAAACTCTTGCCATTTTCAGGTTTTCTTCGAGCTGTTTGGCAACCTTGTACGGGGTTGGATAGAGTGGACGACGATGTGTGCAGACGACGTGGACGCATCAGAGCAACAGCGAAATTTAGCGAGAGCAGTTACAGCCACACTACTGCAAAAGGTCGACGCAACGAATACTATAGAGGAATCGCGCAGTTGAACAGAAGGATGCTACTACTGGACGGCTCCTGGAAATACGGT